CACTCTCTGCCATATTTGTTACTTAATAATGTGTACCAATTTCACTGCTCTGCTAAATGTGATGTCGGACTCCGATCCAGCCTTTTGCTATTCCCAGGTGACTCCGTGTATCCATATTTAATTTCCCTTCGCCCGTTACTAGTTCCACAATCATACGGCATAGCGGCATGTCAAGGCCAACAAGCTACGCACTAACATATTAGCCCAGCACGAACACCAGGGAGCAAAATTGGACCGGATTTTACCGGATAAAACATTCAAATTCTACGTACAAATTAACCGTGCTACAAAACCATCCATCACCATCCTCTTGAATTTTTTTTCCTTGTATACTGGCTAAAAAAATAACTCAGCAAGAAATGATTCGAAGTTACCAGGTGACATACTTTGCATGAGGATGCAGAAGGAGTCGGAGTGCCGAGAGGATCAGGACCCTAGAAAGGGGGTCACCCTTGTATCACCCAAAAAAAAAAACAAAAAAAAAAAGAAATGATTCAAAGTTAGTGCTTATCATGGTGATGAGTATGAGTATTGTCATACTCATCAAATCTCAACCATTTAAATTTAATATCAACAATCGAAATTTAATATTTGATATTTTTGTTTTTTTTTAAATTTATTTTAATACGCGTATAATCCAAAATAAATGTAATTCCTTGACTGTAAGTTTTAAAAAAAATAAGTTTTTTATTTAAAAATTACTAATTAAGAATTTTAAACCTGATTTTAGATTGTTTGGATTTCACCGCAACAATAAGAATCATGATACTCATCTCTATATTGAGTGATGAAACTGGCTGCTAGTAGAAAGCATACTTGGTGTGATTCGTATGCATGATTAATGACTTGACATCGTAGAAATTCAGACAATGCATGTCTTTGGATTTAATAAACTTAAAAGATCATTTGAAGTTTTGCAAAAGAAAAAAACCACTCTTTTTATTTGACATGCCATGTGCACGAATCATGAACTCGCGATCCACGTTCAGGATTGAATTAGCAGTGATTGACCAACCTACTCGATGGACGTCGAATAAATTTAACAAAGGGCATGAATTATCAAACCTGATGAAAGTAAAGCTAGCATTAATTTGGGTTAGGGTGGCAAATAATTCCATCAATAATTTTAGCTTTAATATCTACAAGTGTATGCCTCTTTTTATTCCTATTTCCCTTAATTCAAAAACTACTTAGTTAATTTGATTAGAGTAATAAATTTGGTTAAAATATTTCATTATTGTAATAAGGGTTAATGTGTAAATATGTATATAAACTTATACTAAATGTGCGCCCGGCATCGTAAACAAACCTTGGGTGCAAAAATATCTATGATCATTTCAAAAAGTTGCAAAAATACCACGACCGTTAATTATTGTAACATTGACCGCTTGTTTGACTGAAAGTGTTGATGTGGATGCTGACATAGATGCTGATGTGGCTTAAAGGGTTGATAAAAAAGAGTGAAGGTGCAAATATACCTACAAGCTTGTCTCAAATATGTGCTTGACATTATAAACAAACATTTAGTGCAAAAATATCTATGATCATTTCAAAACAATTCCAACATGCTATAATTGTTTAGTTCATCAAAGATGACTTTATAATTCAAACTTTTGACTAAAAAAGGTGACACGGGCCCTAGGCTAGTATCTCAGTCTCCCTCTTTCAAGTGCACCTTGTTGTGCAACTTGTTCCTCCTTTCAAATGATTGTGTTTTAGTCTCCTTCCTATCCTGATGATGTTTTCTCCTCACCGTTGCATTTTCAGTGAAGAAAAACAAGCTGAAACTCTCCACAAAACTTACCCCTTTCATTTCATCTATCAAGGCCTCTCTTTTTCTAAGAAGCACAACACTATCCTCTCTTAATTGCTCTTGTCACGTCTCCTCTAGTTTGTAAAGAGGAGGGGTTACACTTGAAGGATGAAGACCGAAACACTAACTTAATGTCTGTCACATTGTTTGGTCAAAAGTTTGAGTTATACAATCATCTTTAATGAATTAAACAACTCTAGCATCTTATGGTTCTTTGAAATGATAATAGGTATTTTACACCATAGGTTTGTCATCTGTGTGTGGTGTCAGGTGCACATTTGACAAAAGTTCATAGGTCTCACTCTTTTTTGTCAGACTTTCTAAGCTAGGTCAGTATCCATATCAACACTTTCGATCAAACAAGCGGTTAACGTTATAATAATTAACGGTTGTGACATTTTTGCAACTTTTTGAAATAATCATGTATATTTTTGCATCCAAATTTTGTTTATAGTGCTAAATGTACACTTGGTATAAGTTTATAGGTATATTTGCACATTAACCCTCACAATAATAACACTTTTTAAAATACCTTTATTTTTACCCCCCCCCCCCCCCAAAAGTATTTGTCTCTCCTTCGTGGATCCTTTCTAGATGTTTTGGACCACAAGCCCGCTTAAATATTTTGGGCCTCCTTCTGCTGACTTGTCAACTGGTCCGAAGTATTTTGGTCTGCGTTTACGCCGACCTTTTCCTGTAAACCCCCACATGTTCTCAATTTTTAATATTCCAGATATCCTCGGGGCATTGGCAAATGGCAACCCTTTCTAATAATGGGAAATCCCTTTTGTTCCTCTGACGATACAACACTAATTCGATCTTCCTGCTAAATATTATTTCTAATTTTATCTTATTATCTTAATCAATTATTTCTCAATTTATCCTGCTATAAAATTATCTTTTAAAATTTTTCTAGTTTATTCTATATATTTTCATTTATTCAGTTACAAACAAATTTATTATCAGTAGTATTATTTCACGATTTTATAATTGAAATTTGGAATTAGCAAGTATGAAGGAGTGTAATATTTTTTTCCCAAGATGTTATTATTTATTTTATTCTTATAGAATACTTAGATTGATAATCAATTTCATTAATATAAAGATATTTTTTATCATACTTTATTCGTAAATCATGAAATGAAGAACAAAATCACGCATAAAAAATATTTTTCAGGAAAAAACTAAGTAGACAAATTTGAAAAATATGCCACGTATAAAAGATGATTAAAGTGGGCTTGGACTTTAGCAGAAACGTCAAATAGTGCGGCCCAGTGACTACAGTTATTCGGGCTTCCATGCGGGCCTTATTTGTTTCATCTGGCAAAACGGAAAAGTCAACAAAGATCCTGTCCAGTTGTTGGACTTGTATTTTTAGGTTTCAGCTTCTGGGACAGAGGGCGGTGCCTTCTCAATTTCATCCTGTAATTCATAAATAGCGCGTGTAAGCTCATTAATAATGCAACTTGTTAGAGTTTTTGTATTGTATATAAATGCATAGATTTTTTTTATAGAAGATATTTATTGTCGATTTGATTGTCTTAATTTATCCACATTTGCTTGTGCAGTACAGATTTAGAGGACATGGCTTCCAAATTCGATTGTTAATAGTGTTAATTTTATTGTCGTTTTTAGACATTTGAATTTATACGCGCGATATTTATATGTGGAACACGTGAGTACTTGACATAACACAGATCTCTGAATATTAGTCACTGTCTTTTCTTAAACTTGCTGCGGCATTAAATAAGTTGGAATCTATTCATTTATTTTTTTTTAAATGGAGAAGGAGTAGTTGCATTTATAGTAATGGTTCAGAAGAGCATCACCGATTAGGATAATCCACATGGGAGCGAGGAACACATGCATGTGTTGATATTAATATTCTGTTTTTTTGTCCGAAACCAAATATTTATGGTGACGGTGGGCGACAGAAGGCAATGGTCACTCAGATTTCCTAACGGTAACTTGCAAGCTAAGCCAAGAGGGGGCAGTTTCGTAATTACGAAACCATGCGGCTGTCCTGAGCAGATGATTTTGGTGGGGAAACGTAAGCACTTGGAGATTCCAAAAAATAAAAAGCCAGATTGAATAATAAACCGGTTGACATAGCGGTTTAAAAGTTAGTTGGTTAGATCGGAATCAACTCAGGATCCAACTGATCATATTAAAATAATATAATTTAATTAAAAATAACAAAATATAACAACATTAATAATCACTAATAACAAAATATAAGAAAATATAATAATAGTTTGATTGAAACAATAACAAAGTATAACAACATTGAGAATTTTGATTTTTATGGTTCAATATTAACTAAAATTGATAATCAATTATACCAAAATCATCATTAAAATTCATTTAAATCTATAGGAGCTAAGATATTAGGAGTTGAATGAGAAAAAAAAAGATAAATAATAATATAATCATCTAAATCAGTTTATTACTGGTTTTCACCAATTAATATCGGTTTGACCGGTTTTCTACTAGCTCAACTCTTCCTGATTCAATATCCAAACAGAATCGGACTGCTGGCGGGTTCACCTATTAAACCAGCCAGTTTGGTCCTTTTTTTTGTCCTCTGATTGCAATTGACTCGTTTGAGTGTGTGACGATTTGTTGGGATCATTATGAGTGGCTGTAAGATGCTTTCTACGGAGACAGCGGGTGAATTATGACGAATTTTCATGATTAATAAGACCAGTCACTACTCAAATCTTGCGTGACCCATTCTTTATAATTATAAATACCCACACAAACACGGACGCCATAAATTCCTAGCTACCCAATAACTCCAATCCAACTCATGGTTGTTAGGGTTTAAAGCCTCGTGGTTTTTTTTGGCTTGCTGCAGTCACTTGAAAAGTCATTAATATTTAATACCGAGTACTGGGACGCCAAGTTGGCAAGATACTGTTTATCTACTCTCAATCATGAACGAAGCAGAGCGTGGAGTCTGATGCCTGGGGTCAATCCATATGTGAAAACTGAAACTTTCCATATTATTTACTGCCGTGTCTGCGAATGGAAAGGGACGGGGAAAAAGTGGCAGATTAAAAAAGGGAAGAGAAACAGTGTGAACTGGGAAGTTACTATTTATGTTTATGTGAAGCAAACGCCTAACGGCCTTCCAGGTTTGAGGCAAAGCAGGTTATATTTATCCATGGCGGTTTCTTAATAAGCCATAATCTCACCTGACCTTTTGGCGGTTTATGTTTTACCCCGGGCGCTTGGACTTGGAGGCTTTCTCGCGAACTGCGATTGATTGTTCACTCTGTTATTTCCATAAAGTCCCATCATGCCAGCTCCTCTTTCCGTTCCTTTTGCTTTCCCTTTCTCACTTTCTGCTTATTCCTTCCTTCTTCTTTCCTTCCCATTGATGTTCAAGCCTTCATCTTCCTCTCACCCCCACTCATTTCTCATCCCCAATTCATGAGGTCACTCTCCAATGCTTGATCCTTCCTCTCCCGCCATGAACGACCAGCTCTCCAGACCCACCTCAATCTTCGGACTCCGCTTGTGGGTTGTGCTCGGGGTATGTGTAGGAGCCGCCATCGTGCTGCTTCTCTTCCTCCTTTCAATCTGGCTCGTTTCAAAGCGCTCCAAGACTAACCCCACTCAAAGGCCATCCATCCCGCTCGTCTCCAAAGAGATCCACGAGATTAGAATCGACCATCACCACGATTCCAAGCTCAGAGGGACCCGTATCCCAGTCGACCCGTCTCCCGAACTCGATCCAATTCCCGGAATTGAGCGCCAGGCTCTGCTCCCAGCATCGGAAGAAGAAAGCCCATCGGGGATCAATAGAATTCAATTTGAGATTGGGAAGAATCACAGAATTGCGTACCCTGAGCGTGCTCTGGCTCGGTCGTCTTCACACGGAAGCGGGGAGGCACGGCCCGTCGACCAGGGGCCTACGGTGATTCCTGAAGTCTCGCATTTGGGTTGGGGCCACTGGTATACTCTGAGAGAGCTTCAGGACGCGACGAATGAGTTCGCCGACGAGAACGTCATCGGGGAAGGCGGCTACGGAATTGTTTACCATGGTATTCTGAAGGACAATACTCATGTCGCTGTTAAGAATTTGCTCAATAATAGGTACTTTCTCCCATTTACGCATTATTCTGGTTTGTTACCAAATAATCAAGTTTGGTATGTGATGTGTTCATCGCGTAAGGGGACAAGCTGAGAAAGAGTTTAAGGTCGAAGTGGAAGCTATAGGACGAGTCCGACACAAGAATTTAGTAAGGTTGCTAGGATATTGCGCTGAAGGAGCTCATAGGTACTCCCTTGTAACATCTGCAACCACTAATTACTCCTATTTTATATCTATATTCCTTTATAAGAGCTCTCTCTATGTCAACAAATTCTTCTCTCTGTAAAACGTTTTGACAGAATGCTCGTATATGAGTACGTTGACAATGGGAACTTAGAGCAGTGGCTGCACGGGGATGTTGGGCCTTGCAGTCCTCTCACTTGGGAAATTCGAATGAACATTATTTTGGGAACAGCGAAAGGGTACGTAACAAGTTAATTTATTGATCTCTGCTTTACTTCCTTTTTATTCTGAAGTCTAAACTGATCAGATATTTTCTTTTTTGGTGAAACTGATCAGATATTTGATTCAACAGGTTAGCTTATCTTCACGAGGGGTTGGAACCAAAAGTTGTTCACCGTGATATTAAATCAAACAACATTCTGATCGACAAGCAATGGAATTCAAAGGTGTCAGACTTTGGGCTTGCCAAACTCCTCGGCTCTGAGAGCAGCTACATTACAACACGTGTCATGGGCACTTTTGGGTTTGTAAATTCTCCCCTCTATTCTATCACCTTCAGTTGCCAGCAATTGCTTGACATCTTTTCCCTTTGGTAGATACGTAGCTCCCGAATATGCAAGTACTGGAATGTTAAATGAACGAAGTGATGTGTACAGTTTCGGAATTCTTATAATGGAAATAATTACAGGCAGGAATCCAGTTGATTATAGTCGGCCTCCAGAAGAGGTTTTTCGCATATCTCACTTTTGTCATTTTGATACTGCTGTTGCAGTCTGTTCCTACTTCTTGTTCTTGTAACTAAAAATGATGATTTTCAGGTGAATTTAGTTGACTGGCTCAAGAAGATGGTTAGTAACAGGAATGCAGAGGGAGTGTTGGATCCCAAGCTCCCTGAGAAACCAAGTTCAAGGGCACTCAAGCGAGCCCTTCTTGTTGCTTTGCGTTGCACTGACCCTAATGCACAAAAGCGACCTAAAATGGGGCATGTCATACATATGCTTGAAGCTGAGGATTCTCCTCACAAAGAGGTAATAAAGCAAGCAAACTAGGTTAAAAAAAGGGATGTACAGCATAAAATCTATATTAGCTTCCCTTTTATTAGTTAATGTTGAGATGACTCAAATTGCTTTAATCGATTGAGATTATTTTTATTTATTATATTGGCTTAAAATTCATCATATCTCCATCATATTTATAAGTGATATTTTAGGAGATATTATTGATTAGCCAAGTTAATATTTTTAGCTTTTTTTAGAAACTCTAAGCATATCTAGTCTCTCTGTCCTTATAAAGATGAGACCATCATTGTGAGTTTTGTTTTTCAGCGGAATTTCTCAGTCTCTGCCTTTGGTTTTTTGTCTCTCACGCTGGGGTTTTCCATGTCACATTTTGTGTGTCATCTTCGACTATTTTATCTTATTTTATTTCTTGATCATTTTCAATTGTTTTTTCTTTTTATATACTCTGCTTCTGCAATCCCGACCATTAAGAAAATATATCAAGACATGATACATATTGTGAAAACAATTTAAATTTGGAAAAAAAATTATTGGAAGCCGTGCTTTCAATTAAATGGAGTACTATTTTTCTGGAAAAATAAATAAATAAATGGAGTACTTCCTTTCCATTAGCAAACTGTTTTGAATGTGCAATAAGAGAAAGACCTTGAAGGACTTTTATTAGTGATCCATTATCTTAACAGACGTTAATGTTCAATGCTGCTATGACAACTTCTGAGTTATTGTGATAAGATCTAAGGTAATTTGCATCTTAGCAATGCTACTCTTGTGCTTTCCAAGTAAACCAGGCCACAATAATACCACATTGTACGTAGTAGATGGTGACCATTGCGTATATCCCTGATATTTTCATGGTCCTACCACCATGAAGCTGACTTTTGTCACTTTGGTCATCTCAGGATCGGAGGGCAAAAAGGGATGCGGGAAATTCAGCTAATGATGAGGATAGGTTAAAAGAGGAGGCAACTGTGACAAGTGATGATGGTAAAGTTTGAGAGAGAGATGCAGCAAAGCCAGTGAGACAAGACCACGCCTTCAAGGGGAAAAGCAACGAATTATGCATAGCTGTATCTATAATGAATCAGAAGCTTGTGTTGCCCAACGCCCATTACTTTACAACCTGTCATTTGCAACTGCTAAATGCGATTTTAGTCCACCAGGCTCCAGCATAATTGGTCTTGTATATATTTTTTGGCTTCTTAACCCCAGTCCATAGCCTCAATACCTTCAGAAGGAGCTCTGCTTTATTTTCTCTGTTCTTGCCTTTGCCTTTATGGAGGGAAGCTTGCAGCTTTATGTTGGATCGGGGCATGTAAAGTTATATCATATTATAGCTGATATCATCCATTATGAAGTGGTTGTTATATGTCTTTTGTTTTGATCTGCCTGAACTTTGAAAACACAGTGCATTGTCGATATTGTTTTTACTACAGCAAAGAACACTCAAAGACGAGATGATATCGAAACTGTCAATTTTATTTGTGTAGGGAGAGATGGATGCGCGCATGCGTGCATTTTATTTGGGGAGTTCTATGTAATTTGCCCTTCGATAACCTTGTTCTGTCCATATCTTGAAAACCCTCATTCTATGATCTACTTTGACAACTCGATATCTGGCTAGGAAGTGAGGAAGTTGTTCCCAATACAAGATCAAGTTCCTCCTCCAAGAGTTCCCTATATTTTTTTTTGGGTGCCAAGAGTTTCCTATTTAATTTATTTTTCTCTGATCGTAACTTTTGTGAACATAAAAGGAGCATTCAAATGCTTAAGGTGCAGCGTTGAACGCGAGGGCATCCATTTGTTACATAAAGAAAGAATTGATTGTGGCCTCACTTTGGGAAAGGTCCTTTCAATGGCCCGACTTTGTTGATCCTAGACAGCCATTAACTCGGCTTGGTTCCCCACAAGCCATGTGCTTCTTATTGTTGTTGGTATAACCAGTACAATTATATCGCTGGAAAAACTGTGCCTATGATGAAACTTGAGCCTCGTAGTAACAATCTACTCCCGGTCATATTTATAAACTCCAAATTTAGAATTTAAAATTTACTTTATAAGTTTCAATTTAAAATTTACCTTAACACTTAATACTTTTTTCTCTCTTAATTATTAATTCTCTCTTTTATCATATTCTTTTTTATCATATTTCCCTACAGACTTTGTTTTATCATTTATTTATTTATTTATTATAAGGATATACTGGGAAACAAAAATATATTTTTAATATATTTGTTGTTTTTAACTAATTATTCATTATTTATAAATTAATTATTTGAAATAAGAATAAGAGCAATACAAAGGCAGCACATAATAATAGACAGAAAGAACCATAGGAATATGTGCACATTTAAACAAAGCTAGTCATGATAAATAACCGCGAAGAGAGCCACATTAAGGGGGAAAAGACTCCCAATTCCCCACAATTCTCAGAATGAAAAATGAACAGACAAACCAATATATTCACATGCCCAAAATGTGGAGCAAAGGATACATCCTATAACCATGCGAAGATCGTCACCGTGGCCAGTAATATTCCTTGCAGTAACTTGGCCGGTTTGTCCACGTCAGCTAAGTTTGCAGCAGTTTGGGGTGGCGGGTTCCCTCCGGACGCCTCCAATGCAGCGGGTGGAGGCGGAGAAACGGGAGGAGCATCACAAGTGCCAAACGTAGCGTTTGCCTGCTCATATGTCGCAAATACTCAGTCGAATGTTTAAGGTTTGCCTTCTAAAAGTACCTACTAACTAATGCATACACTTCTCACTTCATACTCTCATTTACATCTTCACATACCCTCATATAGCACCCTAACCTTGCTATGTTAAAAAGCTATAAAAAAGTATGGAAGGAAATGGTGGAGGAAGTAAAACCTTGCAATACGCAATGTTGTCGCACCCACAAGTCAGATGACCATTGGCTTCGTCAACAGCTTCTGGGGCTCCTCCGCCATCACTCCTCTTCAACAACAGTCATCATCAATAAATTATGAACTATTTACGGAGGTGAAGTACATAACACAATCAGCAGGATTGAGGATTTGAGAATCCACGTACCTGGTAATAATCAACAGCAATGAAATTTGGCCATCGTTTGCCAGCTGCATCGTAGCAAGTCTTCATCATGTTAAGTAATGGAGCAGAATTGTCCGCACAAGCTTGAGATCGATTGGGGGCAGAATGAAAGAAGTTCTGGAGAACCAGGGACCTTGATTTTGTGTTCATTGAAGGCGACTCCGCGCGATTTGGACACGAACCTGCTACCATCCCTTCATCTCCATCTGAAATCCCCCAACAAACAAAACAGGGCTTAAGCTCTGCAAGACTGTAGCCAAAAATGAAAACAGAAAAAAGGCACATCAAACAGGCTTCTCATTCTAGTCCCAGGATTAAACTCACATTGATTTTCAACCACATATTTCCACTGGTAAGCAATGCCCTCGGAAGCTTCCTTGGAAGATTTGGAGGTGAAGACAACGAAGCGTTGATTCTTCTGCACCATGTCATCGACAGTAGGCCAATCTCCGCCATTCTTGGGCATCCGAGACAGTGGGAACATATACTTGCTGAGGCCAGAAGCTTGGAAGATCTTAGTTAGGCCGTTGGGGGATGTGACATAGTCCTCAATGAAGATGGTGACAATTTCTGAGGGATTCTTGTCCAGAAAGGATCGAATGTCTTTGAGCACGTTAACGGCAGGTTGCTGGGGATACAAAGTGAAATTAGGAATTGAGTGATCGAGAGGCAGAGGAAGATGTTACACCGTGTGAAATATTGAAAAGGACCTAATTAAGTTTCAAGCCCATAGAATGAGCGAACAGAGTCACGCACTTACGAATGCAGTGAAGTTGTAACATTTGCCTTGAGCCGAGTGACATAACCACACATCATTCTGAAAGTCATACATGTCCAACATAAGTCCTCGAACGCCATTCTGCAGCGCACACCCAGCAGCCAAGTCAGAAACATGTCGATCGTAATCTATTCTAAATGCTAATAACTTTTTTTGTCACATTTGCAAGTTGTGGAATCACGACTGCAACCGCTGCAGAGAAAGTCAATAATTTTAAAGGATCACATGACCCCCACTGTATGCTATCTCTGTATTTATTTGTTTTCCTATGTTAATATTCGTTTCCCGATTCATGCCCTCAAAATTCCACGATGCCCAATAATATTTAAGAGTAGGCAGCGCGTATTAGCTAGTGTCTGTCGTAATAAAATCAATAATTAACAATATTGTAAATCTTTGTCCGGACACTGGACTGAGAATAAAAGAAAAATAAGAGCAATCAGGAATGCATATACTCCTCCGGTCCTAATTATAAGACCCAATTGACTTATTTGAGGAGATTAAGGAAGTAAGTTAAGTTGGTTATTTATAATAAATAAGTGTTGTTATTCCTAAAATATCCTTGCTAATTAAGTATATTGACTAAAACTATCATTATTAGAAGGATTATCTTTAAAAAAAATACATAAATATAAGAGAGAAAATAGATTGGGTCTTATAATTAGGACCAAATAAAAAGTCAAATTGGGTCTTATAATAAGGACCGGAGGAGTACATAAAATAAATATTTAAAAATGCATTTATAAACCATGTCCATTCATTAGTTGGCGAATCCGATGCTCCCCACCTTTGCGAAAATGGAAGTGAAATCGGTGATAAATCTCAAGTTAATGAATGGAACCGAAAATAGGTGTTCTATTAATTTCAAGTTGGTATCATAAATTTTGAATGGATGGATTTAAGAGATTAAGAAATAAGAGGAGAGAGATAGATATTAAAAATAGCACATTTCTCTTGGTTTTGCGGAGAAAAAGAAAAAAGGAAGCACATACCTGGAGTTGAGCGGCAACAGTGTCTTCCTGATTCATAGGAGTTATGAGGAAAGAACCGGTGGCCGATCTAGCTCCGGCGAGGGCGAAAGAGTTGTGAGTGGTGAGCCACGAATACCGATTAAACGCCAAACCTTTCACCTAAACAACCAGGAAAAAAAATTAAAAACAATTTAATAAAATGAAAATGGGAAATTTGATCGACCTTGGCAGCGGGACCCGTAGGCTGGATCCGGGCACATCGGGGTCGGGTATTCCCATTCGCAGCGCACGTCTGGCAAGTGAGGCCGGCATCGCATTTGTTCTGCGACCCACAGGTTTCTCCGATCTGCTACCACATAACATAACCCATTTAAAACTAGCAAATATTAGAGAGGATTAACGTCTAGTGGTGTACAGAACAAGAGGAAGGAACCAAGAGTAAGAGGAGGACCTTGAGGGCGGACGAACAAGAGAACAGACAAATTGCGATTACAAGGAGAGAGGTCCGTAAATTACGATGGCAAACAAAGGCCTGCAGAAAATGAAACAGGGAGTGGGATTTGGCGAGTCAAAAAGAGATGAAAAGAAGTAAAAGGGAAGAGAGGGCGTGCTTAGGCTTGCCTTCATTGGTTGAGTCTGTGAGTTGAGGCTTCTCCGTGGGAGGGAGAAGGAACGGTAAGAGCAGCTTGTGTGTACGGTGTGGGTGGGAACCAGAGCTGAGGATTGATGGGAGAGACAGAGGGTGGGAAGAGGAGGGATTTGGTGAGGGGGAAACGGTGGGAAACGAAACGGGCGACGTCAAATGTCATGGCCCCATTAGGTGAATTCACCTTCTGCCTTCCACCCTCTCCCACCTTCCTTCGGGCAACATCAAATCAGGATGCGTCCTCTAAACAATCATCATCATTTGTACTTTTATCAATGTCAGGAAAATGAGCTGGCTCATTGTCTAGTTACTCGGAGGGTTTAAAACATTCTCCATAAACACGATTTATATAAATCGGGATAAAATTTTTTATATATATTTATCTCATATTTAATAAATTATTATTAAAAAATTATTTATAACTATTTCAAACAAACCCCTTATTCACGGTTTAATAGTTAGATTATTGTTTGAATTATGATTCCACCGGGTGGAAATTAATTAGTATATTTTGAATAACATGAGCTGAAAACAAAAGAAAATAATTTTTTAAAACCAAAAAGTAATATATATAATAAAGAAAAAAGATATCTATCGATGATTGTCCTCATCAATAATTATTTCATAATTTATAATTTGTAATTATAGAAAATGTATATCTCTTGTTTCAAAACATGTTTCTTAAATAATTGTTCATTTTTCATTCTTTTGTAGTGCTTATTAATTAGGTATAAATTATAGTTTGCAAAATAGATTAAATTTATATATACATATATATAAGAATATACCAACCATTAGCTTTGGTTGCTTAAAGTCAGTTTTATCAATTTTTAACTGGTCCGCTGGACGCTGGTTGAAGCGGGAAAAAATGGCTCGCTGGTTTTTTAATTTCTTGCAATAAACGCTCCGGACACCGGACTGGTACGGTTTAATCGGTCCCATCATCTGGTCCCGTTTAGTTCTCAGAGCACAAAAGAAAAAGTACCATGTGG